TTTCTACCCATTGTGACGTCATCAGTTTTAACGGTCAAGGACAACTTTCTTCACTAACTTGTGCAGAGTGAAGAGATCTTTCAAACCATACCAGAATGAGCACAATTCAGTCAAGGACACCGGAGAAACAAGCAAAAAACCACGTGACATTGACCTGAAAATCTCCATGAAAATCTTGTCCCATTACCCACCTACCTTTCCTTTCGCCTAATCCTAAGATCCTAAAAGCTTTCCTAAAAACTCTTCCCACCAAAATCAAGCCTACTAAATGCCCAGCAAGAGAAAAAAAAAATGAGGCAAGAAAAGCAAAAAAAGAAGGGAGGAGAGAAAGCGAAAAGTAAAAGTCAAGACTGCTGTGTCACTTTTAAACCCAAAAACTATGTCGAAATTTTGCTTTCTGCGCATGCCCGAACTTCGCAAGCTGATATTTTGCATCTGGATCGGAAGACCACGAAGTGTTCGACCTGTAAACCAGTTTGTGGTAAGTTTTAGCTCTTTATAGCACGACAGTGACCAGAAAACCACTCGACTAGCTTCAAAACGCGTTTTTCGGCAAAATCTCTAGGAGCGAATGGGTTAATTATGTCAGATAAGTTGAAAAATATGCCTTTTTTTTGCAAAACCTATTTTTAGCCATTCTTATGCTAATTCATCAAAAACTAGTCCAAAGAAGAGGAATTGGTGAAAAATGCTGTTTTTTCGCTATTCGCTGGCCGTCACCAAAGGGTTAATAAAGTTACTGATCTTTTTTGATTGGGCTCCTAGAAATGCATCTCGGGCTCCTAACTTTATATTGAAGCCAACATTAGTTGTGGTTAAACACATCTCCTGCTGGAGGTTTCCCAAGGGGTAATTGGCTTGGGTCAGGATCGGCTTGGGTTGTGGTTGGTTTATATTTTCTGGCTACACTGCAAGTAATTACCCAAGGTCAACTATTGACTGGGCAGATTTGTAATTAAGCTTCATACTTCAGTGTTTTCCCAGCTTGAGCGTTTACTTCTCCAACTTCTGTCACTCTTCTCAGATGATTTGGCTTGAGAAATGCTGGTCAGACTACATGAATGCGAAGCCACTTGTGGGACATACTGTAAAGGAATAGCTTGATTGCTACTTGCATAGTAGGGATATTGAGCATATGGTAGATTCTGGAAATTTTCTTGGTCCCGATTTCTGTAAGGGAACTTGAGTCTCAAAGGGTTCAGTATTATTTTTCTATTGGGAAAAACAAAACATACAAGCTGATGAGGTTTATGAAAGACTTCTACTTATTTTTTAATTACAATGAATGTAGAGCAACAATCAGGGATGCTCAACTTGGGTCACACTGCCCTGTTGCCTGCCTTTCCCTCCTCCAATGTTGTTTTGTTGTTTTTCGGTGTAATTGCCTAATTTCAAGACCAATATAGTAAGGGAGAGGGAAAAGGAGGTCAAGAACGATTGTCAGCATTATTCCTTCAATTGACCCAAGTTCTAATATCATGAATTATCTCTGTTTGTGAAACTCATTGTTGGCTGTCATGTGATTTAGTCTTCAATGATAAACCACATGGATTAAAGTGGATAATTTTTGTGGGGAAAATAACTTACTGGTGGACCATCATATAAAAATGAAGTCAGTCTGACTATTTATATTCTGCGAAATGGTTAACCGTTGCTTAAACTTTGCCACATACGATAACTTTCAGCATTATGAAAAATTAAAAAACTAGACTATACTCTCAAACATACCAGTCTATCAAAATGCTTATTGTTCAACTTTTACATCAGATTATTCAGCAACAGAATGGCGAACCTTGTGGTTAACCATCATAAAGAGATCACATGACAGTCTGTGCTGATTTCTTCTTTTTAAAATTTGTTTATTTACAAATCCATTTAGGGGTGGCGAATGGTAAAATGCGAGACTCGCCGAGAGAGCCAGATCCTAGTTAGAAATCCGAGCCCGAGACTCTTTGGTGAAAAGTTTCGAGACTCAAAAAAGTAGAAGCAAACCATGAAAAAACGAGACTTCGAGACTTATCAAAAACGCTTCTGAGATTTCGAGATTCTGCCAAAATTTTCCGAGACCCACGTTTTTCGAGGTACCATTCGCCACCCCTCCATTTCACTGATTCAAAAAAGGCTATAATATTGTAGATTCTAAGTACATTTTCAGAGAAGCAAGTCCAAGGTGGCAGTACATTTACCTTTTTTCCATCGTGCATTTCAAGAAAAAAATGATTTAAAAACTGTTTTTGGCCACCTCATTGTACTGGCATTATTTAAGAGCTTTTGATATTTCAAATCACTGTATTTTAACTTTAATTCTAACTTTCTTGTTTTCTCACATCAGCGACGCTATGTACCACCCTACAGACATATTCCTTCTCAACGATTTTGCAAGTATGCTAAGGTAAGTCAGAGTACTTATTCCTTACATCACAGTTACACGTGTAGTTACTAGTGATAATTGAGTAGTTGAAAGTTTTGGTTTTGTTGTCAAGAGAAATATCCAGTACCTACTAGGTCATTGTAATTTTTTCTTTTCTTTTTGCCATAGGAGGATGATCCAAGCTTACCAGATGACTATCAGATAATAAAGTGGTGAAGAAGAAACTTCTTGAACTTTGCTTGTGCTTGATTATTGAGTGCAATATGGGTGAAAGAAGTTAGTATGTCAAGAAGAG